GGTTGACGCAAAGAAGTCCGTGAGGGCTTTGTGCAAGTCTGCTTCATTGATGAAGGATTTCCCACGAAGATGATTATCCAGGGGGTGGAAGAGGCGTTAATCGGATGGCGCAAGGTCAGGTGAATAAAGGTGGATGCCACAAAGTCTCCCACCCAAGTTGCTGTATGGTATCCCGGACCACTCGCGCGACATGCGGCTTGGCGTGGTCATGGAGGAAAAGCCCACCTTTGCGATTCACCAGTGCTGGATCCTTCTGGCGCAATACCTGTTGCACACGTTTCAATTGCTGCGAGTATAGGTCTCCAGTGACCATTTGGCTCGTTGGTAGCAGTTCATAATGAACCACTTGACGACCTGTCCACCAGACACAAAACATAATCTTACGTGGGTGCATAGGCGGTCTTGCGGTGTGAGGGACAACATCCTGAGGAGACAACCAATGCCTGGAACGCTTGTGAGCTTCGTACAGAACCCACTTTTCATCACTGGTAAGCACTCGATTGAATAAGGATGCGGTACGGTGGCGAGAAAGCAGCGATACGCAGGCTGCCACTCGTTGTCCCTTGTGGACCTCCAACAGTTTTTGCGGAACCCACTTGCTCAGTTTGTACGTCTTACCTAGGCTGTGCAGGTTTCATAGGAAACGTTGAAATGTCTTGCAAGTTCACCACACGTTAGACTACTGTCCTCTTCAATGGCCGCCTTCAGGACTCCGTCATTCAAGACCTGTGGTCGTCCACTTCGAGTCTCATCATGGAAAGACAAATCTCCCGACTTGAATTTTCGAAACCAACGCCTTGCAGTACGTTTATCCACAGCACTATCCCCAAACGCATGACATATGCGGCGACTTGATGCAGCTGCTGATAAGTCAACTTTGAAGTCGTAAAACAAAAAGCCCCGAACGAGATCTCTAGACACTTTCATCCTTCTCACAGCTGTCCGGCTTATAACTGATGGCCGGGCACGGTGCGCGTGTTTTTTATAACGTCTGATGTTCCTACTTCCGGTAGTCCGAATTTGAAAACAATTGCTACACGCATTTCGTATATATTTCAACTTAATTCAATGACTAATCAAAAAACGGACAGAACTTTTTTGGTTACCTTGTAATAAATGTATTACATATTTCATGCCAAAAACGAGTGAAACAGATGATCCAAAAAATTATAGGCCAATAACATGTCTGTTCACCACGTATAAATTGATCACATCTGTCCTTACGAACTGTACTTACTCTTTTCTCGAAGAAAACAATATTCTTCCACTGGAACAGAAGGATGCAGAAGAGGTTTATATGATTGCAAAGATGAATTACTGATAAACAAAATGATCCAGGAAAATTCCAGGAGATGATGTAGAAATCTTGCGCAGCGTGGATTGATTATCGTAAGCCTTTGATTCGAGTGCCACACTCTTGGATCCTTAAGACGTTGGAAATGTACAAAGTCTCCCCCGTGTTAGTAAATTTCCTTAAACACAGCATGGGAATGTGGAACACTACATTATACCGAAATCACACCAGAGGCACTGCCATTTCCAACCGTCTGAATATTCGACGTGTAATCTTTCAAGGAGACTCCCTCTCACCCCTTCTGTTTTGTCTATCCCCATTAATCCCCCTTACGCAGGAACTGAACAACAGTAGCCATAGTTACAAACTAAGAAAGTATTCAATCACCTTGTCTACATGGATGATCTCAAACACTTTGCCAAAGACGACAATGAGTTGAAGGGTCTCCTCTATACTGTAAAATGTTTCAGTGACGCCATAGGTATGGATTTCGGATTAGATAAATGTGCAAAAGTAACATTCAAGAAAGGGAGAAATACAAAAACACACGCAATAGATTTAGATTTTACCACAAAGATTAGGAAATTGGAACAAGATGAAGCCTATAAGTACTTAGGAATTAACGAAGGGAATGGAATACCGCATATCCAAATGAAGGAGAAAGTAAAAAAAGGGGTACTAAAGGTGTGTGTGTCTGGAACTGAATAACGAGCTGAATTCAAAAAACAGAATATCAGCTATAAGCCCCTTGGCTGTCACTGTGGGGCAATATAATTTAAACATCATTAACTCGACCGTAGCTGACATTAAGCGAATAGACGTCGAAACGAGAAAGCTTCTCACTTGCCAACGCATGCATCATCTCAATTCTGAGGTTGATCGTCTGTGTATGCCCTGATCCGAAAGAGGCAGAGGATTAGTTCAACTAGAACTGTCTTACATAACTTAAACAATTGGCCTTCAAAGATACCTGAAAACTACAGAAGACTGGGTGATGATCTGTATCAAGGAACATGAAAGTAGTAAAATGTGTGTGATCTTAGGTTCTTTTGTTGTTGTTTTCCTCAAAAAATGCTCCGTGGAAAATGTCATGATACCATTTTTTACCTTAGTAAAGAAATGAATATGATAATAATAATTCAAATTCAGAAGATGTAGAATATCAGACATCAGACAATACCAGAATAAAATATGAAAAAATATGTTTCTCAACAACATGGTGAACAGAGCTTGGCTGAAATGCAAAAGATTTCGCTCATGGGTACGCCCCATATCCCCAGGTACGTTTTATCAAAATGACAGGTTATGGTCCTATACGACTGCATTTACATTTTCATAGCACCCTACACATTTTGCAATAATTTTGTCTTCATATTTGAAAAGAAACTCAATTTTACGATAATGACATTATTTTAGTTTTTCAGTCTATTTAATATGTTTACACATTTTAGCTGTATATAAATTTTATCTATACACAAGCATACACATTTTACTTAAAGTTTTAACTACAGTAGACATTACGATGACACCATGCAATTAACTCAGTTGATGGTCAGCTACATATTCAACCAACTGTGCCAACAATCATAATCTGTTGACTTGCAATCTTTTGAGATTTCAGGTTGAAACTTGGAGGCAACTCGAAAAATAAACAGACTAAAATAATAATATTAATAATAAACGAGGTCCTCAAAGAACAAAATGTAGAAGGATTCCGTCTCAACGTCTGTCAGACACGGATCAGTCAGCCTGAGAGGTGAGCGAAATTCTTCCCAAAAGACCCAAAGTCAATTAAAAATGTTAATGATCAAGATAAAAGCCCTTGAACGAATCAGAGAGAGGAAATAGAAATAATAATAATAATATTAACGATTATTATTATTATTATTATTGGTTGAGGACAGTTATTCACTGTGAACTGTGAAAGAGCCTTGGGTTCGACCATTGCAATAAAATGATAAAAAAGAAAAAAAGAAAATTGATCCAAGATACATGAAATAAAAATATTTTAAGATTTTAGTATTTAAGTCAGAAGGCTAGATTTAATTATTGTAACGAAGTGAAAACAACTCGAAACCAATCAGCGGGTTTTAAGCTCGAGATAAGTTGCTAAATAGATGTTAAAGTCGAATCTTATCGTGTGGTCCTGTCTAATCTGGAAAGTCTTTTAACAGAAGACGTAAACTGCAACATTGAAATACGAAGTTGCATTGGAATAACGAACGTTGTCCCCCAAAAGCTAAGCAAAGTAAGAAATGTTGAAAATTTGTTCGGAATAAAAAGAATACTGAAATGTTATGTAATATAGGTCCTCCTATATGGCAGTGAATGCTCGACAATCTCGCCACAGATGAGGAAGAGATTTTAAGCAACAGAAATGTTGTCCTACTGAAAGATGCTGAGGATACCATAGACGGAGGATGTGAGTAGCGATCAAGTTTTAGAGAAAATGGGAACAAAAAGGACACTTAAACTTAATATCAGAAAGAGAGAGTTGACATTTCTAGGATACATAATGTGGAAAGAGGGCTTGGAAATTTTGATACTCACAGGGCAGATTGAAGGCACGAGAGACAGAGGAAAACATTGTATAAATACCTAGCTTCATTAAACAAACGACGGAACAGGTTTTAGGAGAGATAACAAAAAGATAGACTTTCTTAAGAGCTCCGAAGTACAGGAAATTGTGGAGAACAATGATCGCTAACGCCCTGAAGGGACACAGCATATAAAAGAAAAAGAATGTCTAATCTCGTATATTTTAGTGGAAGGTTAATAATAGTTCGATTGTGAACTGAGTTTGAGTGACCAAGATGTGGTCCTACTAAAGAATTTTGACGATACCGGGAACAGAGGATATAAAAAAAATGAAAAAGATTTTAAGGAGAGTAGGCTCTATAAAGAAATTGTTGTCAGCAATCAGAAAAGTTCAGGTAATATTTGCAGGAAGCCTAATGAAAAGAAAAAGGTTTGGGGGATTTACAGGACGCATTGAATGTAATAGAAGGCAATGGCAACCATAACGACAAAAGGGTTCGTAAAGAAACATGTCTTATTGAAAATATTACATTCTGGTCATTCTGTGGGTGGGACTGGTATCATCTAACCCAATGTTACCTGCCGCATGGTCGAATTATCGGTAACTCAACCAGTTCCTCCACTAGTTTGTTCTTGTAAGTTGAGCAACTAGATATCAAGCAGGTTTAAAAACAAGACCTCTCAAAGGGCGGATGTATCCTTTCATAGGTACAACAATCAGCTAGCATAGGCGCGGGACAGAGAAATGACTAGGTTGTTATACAGGTGCACCGTAAGCTCACAGGGATTGTTGAATCATAAAGCTAAGTAAGCAATTTAGAGAAAGGGAAGCTTTGTAACCAACTTGGAGAAAGAAAACAATGATGTAAACTGATTTTTGATCAGAGACTGGAATTAACCCAATGAAAAGCCTTCTTGTTCACTTTAAAAAATTCATGCACACGCCTTGCTTGATATCGTAATTCACAACTGACTTTACAATGATATCTTGCAATGGTCTTACTCGACAACAGGTTGGCAGTCATCAATGCTAAAAGTGTCACGAGCCATGATCACTTAATCGTAAATGGACACAACATAGAAGGAGAAAGAGAGAGAAAGAGAGAGAATTGCCAAATAGGGACTGAAATTGAACGGGATATGGATAAAGAAATCATAACAGAAAGGAATGGATGAGCAGCGGAAAATGTACCTTCTTTTTTCTTTCATTTTAATTTATTGATTAGCTTCCCACCGCATTCGAAATCTGAATAGCTTTTTGATTGAAGCGTTCCATTTGTCACGCCTGTCCGCCTCGTTTTGAAACGCTGGCGAAGATGCAAGTCTTTTATCGTGCCGGAAAAACTAACGAAAATAAAATAAACAAAACTGAAATTCAAAAAAAAAATATGGGTTAAAAATCTGTTACAAACTAAATATTTTGATTCTGTATAGAAGATATTTCTGTCTCATTGTATCCTTTATACTTTGTCTTTCTCTATCCTTCATTGAACCATTTTTCCTGTCTGTCTGTCTGTCTGTCTGTCTGTCTGTCTGTCTCTCTCTCTGTTTCCTTTCTTGTCAACTTAATCTTCAATCAGTCTATGCCTCAAACCTGTTTCTCTTTCCCAACCTCGTTCTTCTCTCTCTCCCTCTTCCCCCTCTCTCTCTCTATCACTCTGTTGCTATTTTATCCAATCTCTCTCAATCCCACTCGCCCTTTCTCCCTTCCCAACATCTCCTTCTAACTCATATTTTCATTGTCTCTCTCCATTCTCTCTACCTCACTTCTCTTTTCTTTCACTCTATCTCCTTAGCATTTCTTTTCCTCTTTATTTTATCAATCATATATCTTTAACACCTCTATTTAGATATATTCCTTGTTCTTTCCCTTTCTCTATTCCACTGTCCCTCTTTTCTCTTATCTTTCTTTCCCTTTCTTTCTCTCTCTCTCTCTCTCTCAATCTTACACAGCACCTCTCTCATTTTACTTACTCTCTCCCCTTTTTCATTTTCGATCTCCTTTCTTGCTCTACGTCTTTACGTTTCCCTCTTTTTCCTATGCGCTCTTTTCCCTATCTTTAGTCTTATCTTCTTTCTGATCTCTCTCTCTCTCTTTCTCTCTCTCTCTCTTTCTCTTTCTCTCTCTCTCAATCTGGACATATTCCTAATTCCCCCTCTCTTTCTAGTTCCGATTTTCTCCATGTCATTTTTCTTTCTTTTGTTATTTCTATCAATCTCAGTATGTTCTTTTCCCGTCCCCTCTTAAATATTCTTCACGTCTTTATTCTTTCTTTCTCTTTTTTTCCTTCCTTTATTTTTCGGACTAAATTTGTTATGTTGGGGCGTCTATACATGCGCACGAACAAGGGATGTTGTGAATTCTTTTTCTTTTTCTTTCCATCACATTTGTTTGTAAATATACCACACTGTGATAATAGAAGTTCTGCCATAATTGGTGAAATGTTGTAAGAACCAGGACACAAATTTATTATAGAAGACCTTGTGATCAAGGCACTCTCTAAATATTTTCGTCGGAATGAATTGTTTCTCCTTTGATCAGAGTAGCATTTTTATGTCAAAATTGTGGTCAGTCTCGTTAAGGTGGGAAACCAACGCATTTGACATTTTATTTTGTAAAATGTCTCTCTTGTGCTCATATAATCTCTTATTTATATTCTTTGAGTTTTTTCCTATATATTTTTGTGAAGATTATTACAGGCGATCGAATAAATTCTTCCTTTTAGTTTAGTTTTAGCTAATTGTTTTGTTTAGTATTGGCTAATTCTTTTATTGTTTTAAATGTAGTAGTAACCAATTTTATAGATAGATTATTTCTAATTGTAGATGTGATATAGTTAGTTGGTAGGACAATATATATATATATATTTTTTTTTTTTTTTTTTATTCATTGTTAGGCAGGAGAGACCGTTTTTTCTATTTTGTAATATTTTATGAGCCTTTTGTTTCACATTGAATATAAAATAATTAGTGTCCTGTAGAAGCTTGAAAGTGTTTTCAATGTATTTCTCCTCTTCATGTAGATATTGCAAATTCTGAGTGCACTTAAGAACACGATACTTATACCGGATTTTATTTTGTTGTTATGATGTGAATAGGAATTTATTAGATCATTTTTGTTGGTTGATTTCCGGTGGACACCAAGTTTTAAACTATAGTTAATGCGGTATAGCTTGATATCTAGGAAAGGTAAGGAATCGTATTCTTTCATTTCGTATGTAAATTCTGTTGTGTGTTCGACTTTGTTTAGGATATATAAGTAGAGCATCATCAATATATCGAAAGTATGTTGATTGTTTGGGTAAAATATTTTGGAAAGGACAAGATTCGAGAAATTCGAAGATGATATATGTCATTACTCCACTAAGAGGTGATCCCATTGGTAAACCAAATTTTTTGTTTGTAAAAATCATCATTAACTGTGAAACAACATTGATTGGTGGTGAGACGGCAGATTTTTATTAATTTAGCTGTTGATAGAGAGTTGCTTTATGTTTGATTGTGTTAGATGATTTTTAGGAGATTTAGAAATGTTTAAACTGGGATGTTTAAAGAGGCTTTATAGGGTAGCGATGAGCTTGTAAGTCATGTTTATTTCTCTTAGTTTTTCAAAAAGGCTGCTTGATTTCTTTATATCAGATAGACTGATTGTTCCAAGGAGAGGGGTTAAAATTTCAGTTACGGCTTTCGCCAGTCTGAGGGAGAGGAGGGAGCTTTCTATTTCTGAGACGATGGGGCGCATCGGAATACCTGTTTTGTGCGTTTTACGGAGACCGTAAAGGTTGGGTGTTCTGGGTGATATTCTATGAGTCTATATCATGATTTGTTTTTGGTTTTTAATTAGTCGCCTTATTAAATTTTTGTGTCTCAGTAATTATTTTCTATTCGTTTTTTTTTTTTCGTATGTCTCGATATCGTTGAGTAGTGAATTCATTTTTTCTTTTTATGTATTCTTGCTCCTGATCACAATCCCTCCTCCTTTGTCAGAGAGGGTAATTTGGATTTACTTATGTTTTTGCTAGGTCCTTTAGTGCATTTACGTATGTATTTTCGTTGTTTTTTTTCTATAGTACCAATGATTATACCTTGAACGAAACCATTGCTAAATTCAGAGTTATTTTGATTATTTATTATGGTGTCCACCATGTCTCTTTCTGAATTTTAAACTGAAGCTGGCAGTTTCCCGTTCTGCATCGGATAGCTTTATATACGGTAGATGTTCTATTAGATTTGGCCTTCCAACATATTTCCACTTGCTATTACTGCATAGGGTGTTGAGTTTTTAACTCAGTTTGCTGTTCTCTTTGTCATCGTAACGTGACTGACCACAGATTATACATAAATAATGTGATGTGATGGAATAACCTGCCATCCCCATGAGTGGGGGCATTATAGGTGGTAACAACCTATAAGTATCCGTTAGGACTGCGGACGAGAGGTTCGAGCTGGGATCTGCGAGACTAGCGGCCTTCCGATAGCAGCACGCACACAACTGTACTGACTTGCGACGACCGTGCGCATAACTATTAATTCCACTATTCTACTACTATTTATCCACCGTGTTTGTCCATTCCATATACCTATTAGCACGGAATATAACATAATGTTACTCTTATCAAAGGAGAAAATAATTCCCTTCAACGAAAATATCTAGAGGGTGCCTTGATCACACGGTAATACACAGTAAATTTGTTCCCTGGCTCTTACAACATTTCACCATTTTTGGCAGAACTTCTATTATCACAGTGTGCGATATCTACTAACAAAAGTGATAGAAACAAAAAGAATCCAAATGAAATCGGCTAAATAAAAAAAATAATTTAAAATTCCCAGCATTCCTTGTTCATAAGTACGCATGTGTAATCGCACCAACATAACAAATTTAGGCCTAAAGGACAAAACGCGCCACAAGAAAACTTTTTAAACTTTTATCATACACTTTCCTTATATATATATATATATATATATATATATATATATATATATCAACTACATATATATATATATATATATATATATATATATATATATATATATATCAAAGTGTGGGAGAACGAACAGTAGGATTAAAGCGTTCAAAACCTTAATTTAAAAATAGTGCTCAATACATACAGTAGAGCCGTAAATATTTATTTATCTTATGCACAATGTTACATTAGAACATGCACATATCCACTACAAAATTGTACATTTTGTTTCAACGTCAAAAAGGGAGAACCCTGTATAAAACATACACTCACCCACAAACACACACTATCTATCTATCTATCTATCTATCTATATATATATATATATATATATTAAGCATTACACCCCGAGCAAGGCGTGAAGCCACTAGGATGCATGTGGTTGCAGAAGATTTGGAGTGAGAGCAGATAGGAGTGATAGAAGAAAGGATGAGGAGAAGGATAGTGGATAGATCAAGGTAACTCGAGATGTCGATTGACTTTACATTTGAATAGCTGGAGATTATAGCTCTCAGGTAAACAGTAATAGGGAAGGGTGTTCCACAGGCGAGAAGTACGAGGTATGAAGCTATTGGAGTAGAAGAGACGGCTACATTTAAAAGTTTCTACTAAGGGTGAGAGCGGGATGTCAGCCTCGTAGGGCGCTTGAATTCATGATGTCTGGGAACCAGTGAAAGCAGCTCATCGGAACAATTACCATGAAAGTATTTGTAGAAAAGACAGAGAGAGGCGATGACGCGTCTGTGAGATTGTCATCCACATAGAGGCTGCATCAATGTGGCTAGCGGGGATCCTACCAATAAGCTATTTTTAGATAAACACACAGTGACTGATAGAACTCAATTCAAAGAGTCTTGCATTATTAGCCGTAACAGTCACTGTTTACAAACCTACACTTCATCCTCAGAGAGCTCAACCGAAATAAATTCTTCAGGAGAGTACACACACACACACACACACACACACACACATATATATATATATATATATATATATATATATATATATATGTGTGTGTGTGTGTGTGTGTGCCTATTTCGCTGTATCACAGCTCATCATCGTAGCTAGACATCCGATTGCTTCAACCCGGGATCGAAACACGACCGATTTGTTATCAGTCACACCCTACCCCTAGGCTATCGGCCCACGGCAGAGAAAGGGGATTCTTTTAACGTATTATATACGTGATGTAACACTCACGTTACATCTTTCAGAGAATAGCTGAATTAGGACAAATTTAAACACTCACGCATAATACTTGCGGAAAATACGACCCTAATATCCTCATCCACGGTTAAAACTACTGGAAACATTAACAATAAATAAAGTCAATAATCAAAATATCACCCATGAATACGGCATCAATGTATTGACCATGTTTGTAAAATAAAAAAAAGAACTTTCTCATCGGTATAGATACACATATATAAAAATATACATATTGAGTTAAAACATTTAAAAAAAGGCAACATTGATAATGGGCGAAGAGAATAACCGAAATATTGAATATTTGGACAGTTTTTTTTTTTCCACATTTTATGTTCAGAAAAAGACATTTATACAAACACAAGTGAAATTGAATAAAAAGTTTTATCGCTGTCATCTTTAATTAAACTTGTATAAAATAGGGATTGATGCCCAAATACACAATTATATATATATATATGTGTGTGTGTGTCGATGTTTTTATTCTCTCTCTCTCTCTCTCTCTCTCTCTCTCTCTCTCTCTCTGAGTTTTTGGATTTTTTTAAAAAAAATGTCACCAGTTTAACATGGTAATTTTTTTAGGATCATTGCATTTTTTTCGTGTCATTTCACTTTTGATCGACACCAGAAAAACTTCTCGTCCATATTGACAACAAAATCAATATTTATACTGCGCGTTTATTTCAGATTTTACAAATACTTAATTGTACTTACTGTTTGACACAAAAGATCATTTGTAATGCAAACCGCTTCAACAGTTTGTTTTATTTTTACTTTTTGTGTGTTTTTTTTTTGTCGAAGTTGAAGGCTAGTTATTTAATAGCTCTTGTTGCCTTTCTAAATAAACTTTGATGATCTTTTCTCATTCTGTGAGAATATTATCGAGCAAGATGAAGACAATATTAGAATTTTAGGATATAACACGATATTTGTTTCGAAGCGTCAAAGTGAGGCATTGGATCCAAAGAATACTTGTCCTACAACAAAAATATTGAGAAAAGAGTCTCATGCTTTAGGGGTGCTTCTCTACAAAAGGAACAGGAAGCTTGTATAAATTTATAATGAAAAAAGAGGA